TGAGGAGAGTTTGAGTCAGTTGGGCCTGTTCTCATTGGAGTTTAGAGGAATGAAAGGCGACCTTATTGGATTCTTAGGGGAGACCTGACAGGGGGAGATGGGGAGGGGTTGTTACCCCCTTGAGTGGGAGAGTCTAGGACCAGAGGGGGCATCATCTCAGAGTGAGGGGGTCGCCCACTGAAGACGGAGATGGGGAGGAATTTCTTCTCTCTCCGAGGGGGGGGGGAGTGAATCTGTGGAATTCTTTACCGCAGAGGGGTGGGGGTGCTGTCGAGGCTGGGTCATCGAGGATATTCAAGGCCGAGATAGAGGGATTTTTAATCAGTGAGGGAATCAAGCTTTGTAGGGAAGAGGCAGGAAAGTGGGAGTTGAGGATGATCAGATCAGCCGCGATCTCACTGAATGGGGGAGCAGACTTGACAGGTCAGATGGACCACTGCTGCTCCCATATCTTCCAACTGCGCTATCTCAATACTTAGTCCTAACCTCCTTCTCTCTCCCAACAGTTGATTACCACACCGCGGAACACCACCTTCCGACAGCCTTCCATGTAAGAATCTGCTGACGTGATGTTTCTATCGGAGCATGGGGGATGTCTTTATACCCACATTGCAGTAGTTTTCCATCCTCTCGTGTCCCCTTTCTCATGTGTAGCCCGTGTGCAAGCCTTCAGCTGCGATAACTTCTGTGTCTTACCCTCAAGTTTCAAACAGAGCGGGAAGTTCCAGTTCCTGTCTCCACCTGGCCCAAGCTGATCTGGGTGGGGGGCAAAGGCTTACGGAAGGCCACTGTGCTCTGTGGTGCAGGGAATGACGAAGAAGGTGTCGACCCAGTATCGTGATCCTTCTCGTTGCCCCGCTGGGCAGCACAGTGGCTCGGCAGTTACGGCAACAGGGGACCCGGGTTCGATCCCACCCTCGGGCGACTGTCTGTGTGGAGTTTGCACCTTCTTCCCCTTGTGTCTGCGTGGGTTTCCTCCGGGTGCCACGGTTTCCTCCCGCAGTCCAAAGATTTGCAAGCCAGGAGGATTGGCCATGCTAAATTGCTCCTGATGTCTGGTAACGTACAGGTTAGGTGGATTAGCCATGGGAAATACAGGGTTATGGGAATAGGGTGGAGGGTTGGGTTTGGGTGCAACGCTCTTTAGAGGGGTTGGTCCAGACTCAATGACCTGTATCCGCACTGTAGGGATTCTGTGAATAAGGGAGTGTAAATTGGGATTGAGGATGGCTGTCATTTTCCAACCCCCCCCCCCACCCCCCACCAACAGCAGGGCAGACCAACACCCTAACGCTTCTCGCTCAATAAGATTGCATGTGGAACAGTGCGGGATTGACGTGCGAAAGGTGCCATGCAAAACCCACCTCCCAGCACGTGTGTCAGGAAGGTTGGGGGTGTGGGGGTTAACTTGGTGGCTGCAGACACCCCCCCCCCCCCCCCGCTCCTTTCTTGTAGTTTGTTCCTGTAGCTTGCGGTTCAGATCGCCAGGAGATTGCCACACGGTTCTAGAGGAGGGAGAGTGTTGGCACCCTCATAACCAGAGCAGGGGTGGGGGTAATTGTCCTGTATTTGCTCACCAAACTGGTTATTCTGTGGTGTGCAGACGTTTCATCATCATTCGAGGCATCAGTGTGACCTCTTAATCGAAGCGTTGGTGTTCTGCTCCATTCCGAATTTATGTGATCCTCTGGTGTAGAGGGTCTTGTCACTTCCGGTTCTGTTTTTTATCGGGGGTCTGTATACGGGGTTTATTTCTATTTGTTTGTTAATGGAGTCCCATGTTGAGAACCAGACCTCCAGAAATTCCCCAGCACGTCTGCTGTTCGTTTGTCCCAGTATTGTCGCTTTATCCCAGTCGAACTGATGGCCTTCATTGTTTGTGTGTATCGAGACAAGTGAATATTGGTCGTGTCTTTTTATTGCCGGTTGGTGTTCGTGTATCCTGGTCATCAGTTTCCTCCCCGTTTGTCCAATGTAATTTTTATTGCACTCGCTGCATGAGATTCTGTACATCACGTCAGTCCTGTTTACTGTCGGTATGGCGTCTTTGATAGCATTTGACGCAGTGTTGACGTAGGTTTGTGGGCAATTGGCCGATGCCTACAAAACAAATGACAGTCAGAGGACACAGTACAACAAAAGACACTAGTAACACTACCCGACATCAAAAATATATCAGAAAGGATTACCAGACTCCTAAGACCACATAGATCATGACTGCACACAAACCTACACCAACACTGCGCCAAATGCTATCAAAGACTAAAGACCACACACCAACAGTAAACAGGACTGACGTGATGTACAGAATCTCATGCAGCGAATGCAATAAACGTTACATTGGACAAACGGGGAGGAAACTGATGACCAGGATACACGAACACCAGCCGGCATTAAAAACACACGACCATTGGTCTCAATACACTCAGATAAAAAACAGAACCGGAAGTGACAAGACCCTCTACACCAGAGGATCATATAAATTCAGAACGGAGCAGAACACCAACGTTTTGATTAGAGGTCGCACTGATGATGTTGCCTAGAAGGGTAACGAAGTGTGTGCACACCACAGAACAACTGGCTTAGTGAGCAAACGAACAACTGCATCCCACAACCCGAGCTACATATTTTCACTAATCTCTTTGTTGCAGCCCACCCTCTAGAAACGCCGTGGTGTAGGAGCGGTGGAGCGAGCAGGGAGGCAAGGGGCGGCAGAGGGGCTCCAGGTGCCGCAGCCACGAGGAGGGGGCTGTCCAGCATCGGCTGGCGCAGCGGGGGGTGGGGGGTGTGCAGCGGCGGCAGACAGGAGAGGCAGATATTTCTCTGTCTCCCAGTCGGCACTGTGGTCAGAACCTAATAAAATAAAAAGCTTGGTTAGTGCGGATCCTGGCTCTCCTGCTGTGTTCTTGGTTTGGCTGGGGGGAGTAGCAGTCAGTGGCAACTTGGTCTGGCCTTGTGGAGCTCCCCCCACCCACAGTCCTGCCGTTCTGGGTTTCGTGGATGGGAGCAGGAAGGCAAAGCCAACAGCATTTACGGTACATTGCAGGCACAGTCTGTGGCAACAATCTGATCACGGTTGCAAATGACTGTCCGAGAGTGTGACAGTGCAATAACTCTTACCTTACTACGGTCAAGAGGTATTAACATGAATTACAGAATGGTTATAGCCACGGGAGCCATACCAGCTCTGTGCACTCAGCCAGTACCTGCTGCCTCACCTTCTCGCTGTAGCCCTGCGTTCTTTTTCTGTCTTTCTCAAGATATTTATCCAAATTCCATTTGAAAGTCAGGCCTGAATCTGCTCGGGGTGTTCCTGATCCAAACCAGGATTTATTCTTCCACGGGATTATGGGCACTAAATGCATTTGAGTGGACGCAGGGGTGAGCTGCCTTCACAAACTGCTGCTCAGTGGGTTTGGGACATGGGTACTATGAGTTCCAGCCACGCTGAAGGTACAGTGACTTAGGTTCAGGATGATGTGCAGCTTGAAGGGAACCAGGATGGTGTTCTCATGTATCTGCCTATGCTCTTCAAGGTGGTAGAGGTCACAGGTTTGGAAGGTGCAGTTGAAAGACTCTTGACAATTCGCTACAGTGTGTCTTGTAGTTGGTACATGGTGGAGGGAATGGATGATTGTAGATGTGGTGTCAATCGAGCAGGGGCTGCTTTGTCGCTGGTTGGTGTCAAGCTTCCCGAATGTTGTCGGAACTGTTCCCATTCAGGGCCAGTGGGGAGTATTCCACAATTCTCCTGACTCATACTGGGTCGCTAGGGGAGAATAGGGCTTTGGGGAGTCGGGAGGTGAGTGACTTGCTGCAAGATTCCCAGCCTCTGACCTGCTGTTGTAGCCCCTGTGTTTATATGGTTTGGTCCAATTCAGTTTCTGGTCAGTGATAACTTCCGTCCCCAGATATGAATGATGTCAAGGGGAGATAGTTTGACTCTGTTGTCGTTGGAGACGGTCTGACGCTTGTGTGACATCAATGTTACTGGCCAGTTATCAGCCCAAGCCTGAAAGTTGTCCAGGACTCACTGTATTCAAACATGGACTACTTCAGCATGTCTGGGGTCATGAAGGGTATTAAACAATCAGTGAACGTCCCCGCTTCTGACCTTAGGATGGAGGGAAGGTTATTGGTGAAACAGCTGAAGATGTTTGAGTCTAGGACACTACCCTGAAATAACTCTTGTAGTGATGTCCCAGGATAGAGAGCACTGACTTTGGTCAACTAGACCCATCTTTCTTTCCTGAAGACCTTATAGACAAGAGTTTTTGGAACCAAGTCAGTGCCAGTTGTCCCTCATCATGTTCCCATTTAGTTGCCGGAACATACACTTCAGCTGTCTGGGCAAACCTTAATATTTCTTACTGGTAACGCTGTGGACTGCAATTCTTTATGTACCTTGGCTTTTCTATCTAATGTTACAACCCAGTTCCAACTCCCTTTTCTCAACTTAGATCAACACAACCCGAGCAGCGCTAGCAAACTGGCCACCAAGGGCGTTGCTCCTGATCCTGTTGAGGTGCAATCAGTCCACTCGTCCAGAACAAGTCCCAGTGTCTACGAAATCTTAAGTTCTCAGTCCTGCACCATCTCCCCCAGCCACCATGAAAAGCTACTGGACATGTACATAAACAAATTGAGCAGGCAAATGAAATGCAAGTTCTGGATCTTTCAGGGGACACTGTAGGAATTTTACTCTGTATCTAACCCTGTGCTGTCCCTGTCCCTGGGAGTGTTTGATGGGGGGGACAGTGTAGAGGGAGCTTCACTCTGTCTCTAACCCCATT